TTTTCACAAGGTCAAACATATGTTTTACCATTATTAATGGCTGTTCTACCTGGTATTGATTCAAATGATTTCAAAAAAACTGCTGTTACATTTCAATTTCTTAATGCTATTTTAATGTTGGTTACATGTGTTGATTGTTCATCAGCTGTTCATACTCGAAATGATCTTACTGAAGTATGAAAACCAAAAACAAAAAAAGAGAATCTTATTTGAAATTCTAATATAAATAGAAAATAAAAATTTCTTTGTTTTTTTTCTGTGCAATAGATTGAAAAAGAAGTTTGTTTATCAACAGCTAAATTCGAAGATTTTATAAGTGAATTTCTTAATCGAACATTTCGAATGATTGATACATTATCAACTGAAATGTCTGATGCTGTAATTTTAACTAATGAAGCAAATTCCGAAGATCAAGAAGCTAGTCAAGAATTAACATCAATGATATCTGGTATTGTTCAACAATGTAGTAATAAAATTTTTCAAGTATATTCATTAATTTAACATTTATTTGATATGTAAACTAAAAAAAAAATATTTATTTAGATGATTCGAGAAAAAATTACAAACTTTTTAGCAGCATCATCTTTCTCACCTAAAATTAGTAAACTTGTTAATGGTCTTGTTCGTGCTATACTTAAAGGAAATCCTGAAGAAACACTTAAATATCTTTTACCACAAACATGTGAACGTATTGAAAAAATTATGAGCAATTCAGAAACAACAATATTAACTGATCATAAAGGTGATACAGAATTAACATGGTGTTTAATACTTTTTTCTGAACTTGTTCGTGCTCGTGGTGATACATTACTTATGTATAAACCAATGATTCTATCAATTTTTCATCGATGTGTTCATATTATTCATAAAGAATCATATGAAGCTGTAGCAAATGCTGCAAAAAATTTACTTAAATCATTATCATATGTATATCCAATTGAATATCGATTAACTGTTGAAAATATTGAAGAACCATTTACAGATTTTTTACCTATTCGAGTAAGTTCATTTAATTTTTGTTTGTTAAACACGATTTAAACGGCGTATTCAAGTATAGTGAGAAAAATTTACTCCCCGCTCCTCTCAGAGACCATGGTAGACGTTAGCCGGAGACCATCACAGACGTTGTTGATATATGATCAAAGACTATATATCAATAATGTCTCCTTCTAATATATGAACTACTTTCTTATTACATTTCTGGAGGCGTGAATAGAAGGATGATGAAGAAATATGCCCCAAAATAGATATAGTAAAGCAATCTTCTTGTGATTAGCAACAACAGCTACATTGAGTTTCATATTTTAATCTTGTAGGGATTGTAATAACAGCTGTTTTTATTTAGTTTGTTTTATTTTATAATTCATAGGCATGGGGTCAACATGTTGAATTTGATAAACTTCAAGTTCAATTTCATACACCAAATGAAGAAGAAGTTGATTTTGCATGTGAATTTGTTGAAACATTTATTTATCCTGAATTAGAATTATTGAATGAAAAATGTTCAAAAATGTCAAATGAAGAACGATTACGATCGCTTACTTTAATACGTTTTATCGCTATTGGATGCTTTCGTATGGTACCACGTGTCGATAGTAAAGAAGTATTAGATCTGTAAGTCAATGTAGAATAATATATTCAATTGAAAAGAATATCAATGAATTTTGTTATAGGATACCATCTGTAGTGTCATTTGATACGAAATATCGAGCTAAATATAGGCTATATGCTAAAGAACCTCGTATGATATTAAAATTAAGAATAAATTTTTGAACGATTGTAATATTTATTTATGTTTTAGAATTTAAAGAAAATTTACGAATACGTCTGTTAAACGATATTGGAAAATTACTTGGTAAATTTTTTTTTAGAAATAAAGTAAATAGAATTTAATAAATCATCTTTCCTTAGATGTTCTTGTTGAAAATCATTCAGATGATGCATCATCTATAAAGATTGCTTTAAAAGTATGTTATTTAATTTTTACTTTTTTTCTTTTCAAATAAAATTCTTGTTATTCTTTATAGATTTATTCATTATCATCAATCTATTTCGGTGTATTTGAACAATTTGTAGACAAATTATGTAAAGATCTTGAAACAATTAAATATTTATATAAAAATAAACTATCCGGCAAACGAAAACATCCTCGTTTTGTTATTATTAAACGAATCGGAGTACAACTTGAAGTAAATCAATTATTTCAAATAAAAAAAGAAACGAATGCAACTATTATGAATTCTTTTTGTTTTTGTTTTGTTTTCCATAGTTATTCTCTATCAGTAATTATCAAAGTTTAACTGAAATTGATAGACAAGTCATACTAAAATTATTTGAATTATCTATACATCGATACGGTGAAGTAAGTCAAAGAATAATTGATCATTCCACAATTCACAGTTGGATTTTTTTTTTCTTGTTTGTCTCATTTAGGTTCGCCGTAATGCACAAGTTTATTTATTTCATATTTTACGACGTTATCTTTTTTCATATCAAGTAATTATTGATCGTATTCTAGAATTATTTGATAATCCAGATGCAGCTGATCATGATCAAATAAAAGGTTGTCTTTATATTCTTCTTGGTAATGATTCAATTTTTATACCAACGAAGCATTCATGGACATTACTTGAAAAATTATGGCCATCACTTACACGTACAATTCATGCAACTAAAATTAGTACACAAAAATTACTTGATCGTATTATGGAAAAAATTGGTAAACAATTTGATACTCCAGCTATTATTGAAGATACTAATGATATATCAATCAAAGCAGCAATTGAATTATGGAGACCATTAGAAACACATGAATTAATATCACGAGATCAAATGCGTGAAGAACGAAATCAAGCAAATATTCGATCATATAATAACCTTATGGAAACATTAAATTCATTATTTTATAATCAACCATTGTAAGGCATTTTTTTGTGAAATACGATCTAAAAGGAGTGTGGAAGTATATAGGATAGAAATTTGCACTCCCTACAGACATCTTACGAGGGAACATTTTTAAGTGCCAAATCATTTTTGAGTCGGGACTATGTACATCATATAGACCGTAATGAACTATGCATATCCTGAATAGAGTTCGAGTTCATAACTTGTTACTGCCGAGATACTGTATTTTTTAGTAGAATACCGTGGTCCTTGTCAGGGACACCAGAAAAACTGAGTTTCCAATTTCAACTTGAAATTTTACACGAAGGTAGGCCTTAATGAGAATAGCTTATTGTAAAAATTTCACATCTTTCGATTAAGCCTATTCTGAAATAAGAACATGCCGAATTCATCATTGTATATGAGCAGCGTAAAACCATGCTTTTACTATGGCCGTATCTCAAGATAGACGTGATCAAAAGATTTGAAAACTTTACAGTGCGTTATTCTCGTAAAGGTCTGTCTTTGTGAAAAGTTTCAAGTCGATGTTTGAGACTCAGTTTTCCTGGTGTTTTTGAAGGAGACGACAGCGTTTTGTACAGTATTTTGGCAGCGATAACCTATTAACCTGAACTCTTTTCAAGATATTCATAGCTCATTAGAACTCATAGGATATACACAGTCTCGATTCAAAAGTGGTTCGATACTTAGAAACATTCCTTCGTTAGCAATGACACATTGCAACATCTCGTTTTAATATATTAGTGCATTTGTGAAGAATTAAGTAAAACGATGGTGAAGAAACCTGTCTCGAAATAGATAGAATAAAGTAATTTCTCTGTGATTAGCAAGATTAATTATATCATGTGTTACATTTTAATCCTGCAGAGATTACGCTAATATAACTTATTTCTTTGTCTGCAAAATTTCAGAACTTGGCGACAACAAGAAATGGCTATGGCATTTATATGGTTACTTCTACAAAAGCGTATTCCAGTACCTTCATCATGTATTCGAACATTTGTTGATTTTCTTGTTCATGATAATGTTGAATTACGAAAGGTTGTTTATTGTATTTTTTTGATTATTTCAGAAAAAAATCATCATAAATATTTCATTTATCTATATAGATTGCTGAAAAAGGTATTGCAGCATTTTGTCGTATACAAAAACCACCTCGAATTTATACTGAAAAAACACTTGATGAAATTCTTCAACGTCCAGTTAATATTGATGAATGTCATCCAGGTGATCGTGATGATAATTTATGGATAACAATTAATGATTATAAACCACCTAAAACACAAAAGGAATGGGAAGAAACATGTTTTTTGGATAAAAGTTTTCATGGTTATTATAAATGGCCAAAAATAATTAAATATCCAATAAATAAACGTGAACGATATACAAAAGAAAATATGCCACAAGATGTTGCAATTTTATATGAGAGATTTATTGATAAAAATTTTATTAATAAATTTACTCAATTTATGGTTTTAGATGAAGAAAAGGGAAAGATTAGTTTTGATGCAAGACGATTTAATATGTTTAAAGTAATAATAAAGGCGACTATAAGTTTTTTGATGATTTTTTATACTACAAAAAGGAATGTATGTACACTCTAAAAAAAAAGTAATTCTGCTACAAAACTCAAAAGATTCTTCGTGCGACTACAAACTTGGAACCTTTTTGAGTTTTTGGTACGAAACCAAAAGATAGTTCCAAGTTTGTATTCCCGCGAAGAATCCTTTTAGGTTCCATAACAGAAATTGTTTTCTAAGAGTATATTCGTTATCAAGTTCTACTGGATACTCTTGATATATCGATAGATTGCGCCACGGCCATGGAAGAATGCTGCGTATGTGACACCATGTATTGAAGAATCCGCAGTACGCAGTAGAACTTGATATTGTGTATGCATTATTATGTAGAGGAAGTCTTTCTCTACAAGCTTATATATATCCTGTTCTGTAGTCGAAAACCTTATAGTCAACTTTTGATTGTTAATAAGAAAAAAAATTATTTTTTTAGGGGCTTTTTCGTAATTATGGTTTAGCATTGGTTGATAATTTTATTGAAAGATTATATGTACTTATACATGAAAAAACCAAAGAAAAACAAGAAGGTAGTCATAGAGTTGCAGCTGAAATTGTAGCAGGAATGATACGTGGATCAAAATATTGGACAATAGAAATGGTTTGTTATGATAATTTCTCGTTGTTAGTCTTTTTGTTTTTTTTTAATGAAAAATATTTTATTGTTTTTAGCTTGATGAACTTTGGAAAAAATTAATACCATTTCTTGATGAAGTTTGTTTAAATCTTGGTCCAGAAACACTTTCATATTGGGCTTCATGTTTTAAATTAGGAATAGTTCGTAGAAAGAATTTTGTTTTTTTTTTCTGTTTTCATAAATAAAACTTTGTTTGAGTAGGAAGATGAAGATCCACGTCGAATGTATCGTCCTATTGAATATCTTCGTTCATTAATAAATACACATGCAACAGGAAATACATTTCTTGAAACATCACGTTGGTATCTTCTTCAAACTGTAACTAATTTTGAATGGCGTGTACCAGCTATTTGGTGTTTTATTAATGAACAAGCTAAAGAATTACTTGATCATCCATATAAAGCTATTCGAGAACGAATTGCTATGTAAGACAATAGAATATAACGAAATTTTCTTAATATATATATATTTTTTTTCTTTTAGTGTTTTAGCATTGTCGTTGACTTTCGATGTGACATTACCCAACGGTCAATCAACACGTCATCCAGATGCTAATAAATTTATTGATATGATACGTGAACGATTACAACAAGCAATTGAAGTTTATGAAAAAACACCATTAGGTAGAAGTTTTTATACAATTCCTATAGTGATGATAGAACATGATTGTTTTTTTTTTGTAGCTAATGTATCCGGTCAAGTTGTTGAAATCGATCCGGAAGCTCGTAAAGCTTTAAATTTTATTGAAACAGGTTTACATTAGATTATTTTAATATTGAAAATAATAAATTATTTCTTTTTTTTTTATAGTGATACAACTTCATACACATTTATTTAGTAAATGTTTACAACCAATAAAAAGTGCTATTATTCGCATATTTCCATATGTATGTTATTCATTAACCTTTTATTCCTCACAACGGTTCTAGAAGAGCTACTGATAAAATAACTTTATATATAGAGTATTACCCTATCTAATATGCTAATGATGTGGTCTGATCTTCTTCATCGATTTATGTCATAAAGACATTTCAAAAGACCTCTATTGAGCGTAGATAGAGAACATTTCGTTTCAAAATTATCGATTTTGTAGACTCGATATTTCAAAGTTGGAGCGATGAAAAAAAATATTCTTATCGCTTTCAAATCCTCTATGCTTTCTTTATTTTCTAAAATCGTTTTACAAATAGGCACCCCAGTGACTAATGGAGGATAAAGAGTTAGTTCAAGAATTTTATTATTATTAATAATTGCTTGTTATTTTAGCTCTGCGAATTAGAAAGTATTGTTGCTAATGATGATTTTATTCGAAAAAATTTAATAGTTAGTCGAATGTGTGTAGCCATGTCATATTTACATAAACCTTTTATGGAAGCTTTAATTGAACAATTAGAACAAGTGAGTTAATTCATTGAATAGATGATTCGAAAAATAAAAGGGAACTTAATGTTTCTTCTTGTTTTCAAGGCTTGTTCAAGTCCAAAATGGCATGCACGTCGAGCTGCTATTGAATTTGTACAAAATATGATCTTTTGTAATTTATTCAATGCCCGACCTTATGCACAACGATTACGACAACTTGTTTTCAAATGTTTATTTGATGAACAATTTGAAGTTCGAACAGTTGCATCTGTTAGTTTATCAGGATTTTATCAATGTGGATATATACAAATTAATAATGATGATCTTGTAAGTATTCTTTTGTTTTTTTTGTTGTTATTCATTTTGTGGAACTCGCATTATCTTCTTTCGAAAAACAAAATATAATGGGTATAAGTCTTAAGTTGAGATTTGACGAGTCCTACCATCATAGCTAATAACGGAGGTCAACAACATAGCAACTGAGGACAACAGGCATCAGAGTCCTTTCTCAGAATTCTTTAGCAACGAAAAAAGACACTGAATGACATTAAGACTTGTACTCCCGTGTCGTTCCAAAAAATAGACTTTTTGAGATGACACATAGGGATGACTTATAAGGTGTCTAGTTTCCAAAAAACTTTCGATAATATTTATTCTAGTGAATTGCAGTTCTTTCTTATTTGATCCCCAATATTAAAGCAATCATGGGTTTATCAGAAAACATGACATAAGATTTTTGGAGTTTTAAGACTTTGAGAGTCCCAAAAATGAAGTAAAATAAAAATTAAAAAACCTTTTCCGTCATTCGAAACTATTTCGAGTTCTCGTTCGAATAAGAGTAACTCGAGCCCTATAGCTTGAAGTCTATTGAAAAAACACCTGTACATGTGAAAGTCCTATGGCTTAGGAAAATCTCCTGAATAGAAAGATTTGGAGCTGTGAAAAATTTTTAATAGTGTACTTTCATTAGTCGAACATTTTCAGAAAGTTTCATTAAAATCTCATGCACTGCATTGGAAGTCGATTTTGGAGAAGGTCTTTCTCGGAATTTGAAGGGTTGGAATACGTTCTAAATAGTGCAGTTTTTGATTTGTGTACATTCAATATGTCAAGGATGATGAGTAGTAATGCATTGATTTATCACAATCGTCATATGATCAACATCAAAAGCGTGAACTGATCAAGTTATACCTTTGGGAAACAATCAATATCACTGTTTCTGAGATTATTGAGATAGTTGAGACCTGATGTAGATATGACGCATATGCCCAACAGGCCTTTTTTTTGCCAGTTAATCTCTTCAGGATGGGATTACTTTTGATCAAAAGGGAATTTTTCGTACAGTCGTTGTCGAGCCACAGATACGGGAAAATTAATTAAGAGAAACTGAATTTTTACTGTTATAAAAATAAAGCCTATTTGTCAACAAACGATATTTTTTCAACACGAAAGTATAGAAAAATAAGCAAAAGTCTGATTAAATTTTTCAAAAGCTCTCTTAGACGAGAAAATAAATAGATGAAGATGGGATGCAGTGCTAACTCATTGTCGGCGTTCTCAAGCAAGCTCAAACAATATCCCAAGAGACACTCAAAAGTCATTTTGCGAGTTGATTCAGTACCATTGCATATATATCGGTGACACATCCTCAAGAGGTTAAATCAATAGTTAGAAAAAATAATAATAATGTTAAATTAAGAAAAATGAAAATCAACGAGCGAATAGCGGGAAGACGCACTAAAAATAGAGTGTTAGTAATAAAAAAAATTCTGTGTTCGAAATGCTGAAATAACTAAGAGAGATCGCTTCATTGGCAATCGATTATCCTTGGAAAATAATAATAGTCTGTAAGAGGTTTTTTTACTTGACATATTTTATATTAGTATAAGGTGGCTAAAGAATATATGTGAGTTCCACATTTTAGTTCGCCTTTTCCAAAAGAACTGTGCTAACAAATTTTTTTTTATTTTTCTATTATAGAAATATTTTCGTGCAATGAGTAAAACAAGTTATTTTACAAAAGTTGATGGAAAAAAAGTAACATCAGCAGAAAATATTGTTAAAAGACATGGAGGTTAGTATATCAATTAATAGACATGAGTAATGTTTTTGTTTATGAATAGGTGTTCTTGGTCTTTGTGCAATTGTTTTATCAAGTCCATATGATATTCCAAAATATGTACCTGAAGCATTGATGTTACTTTGTGAACATTCACATGATCCTGATCTAATTCAAGTATGTTATTTTGAAATAGAAGAAAAGTT